TGCACTTTGAAGAGGGAAAAGAAGCTATACCCAACATCCTATTGCTAGGTATGCTTCTTATAAGAAATTATCTCCTAATATGAAGGCATTGGTGGCGAATGTAGAAAAAGAAACCATTTCTAAAAGCTTCAAGGAAGCTGTTGATGATCCAAGATGGAAACATGCCATAGAAGAGGAACTAAGGGCGCTGCCTAAAAATAGAACATGGAAAATAGTTAATTTACCAAAAAGAAAAACTGTTGTGAGCAATAAACAGGTTTTTACTATTAAGTATAATCCTGATGGGAGTGCGAATAAGTATAAGGCAAGATTAGTTGCCTAGGGTTTCACTCAAACCTATCGTATTGACTACCAAGAGACATTTGCCCAGTTGCCAAACTAAACACTATAAAGGTACTCTTGTCACTTGCTGTAAATCTAGGTTGCCCCTATACCAACTAGATTTTAAGAATACCTTTTTAAATGGTGATCTAGAGGAGGAAGTGCATATGGAAGTGCCCTTGGGATTGAAAACTGCTAAAAATTCTCATAAAGTTTGCAGATTGTACAAATCCTTATATGGGTTGAAATGGTCACCTAGGGTCTGGTTTGAGAGATTTACTCGAGCAGTCAAGACTTGGGGCTACCATCAGTGCCAATCTGACCACAGATTATTTGTCAAACAATATGGAGATAAAATTACAGCTCTTATTGTATATGTTGATGATATAGTGTTAACAAGAAATGATGCAGACGAGATCACGAGGCTAAAGAGAAATTTAGCAGCAGAATTTGAAATTAAAGATCTTGGATCACCAAGATATTTCTTGGGTATGGAAGTAGCACAAACAAAAAAAAGGATTGGTGTGTCACAACAAAAGTACACCATAGACCTACCAAAAAAAAGGCATGCCGAGGGCAAAACCAGCTAATATTCCTATGGAACTCAACCAAAAGTTGACCATTACACTTTATGGCACAGCTGTAAACAAAAAAAGGTACCAAAAGCTAGTGGAAAAATTAATTTATTTGTCACACACCAAACCTGATATATGTTACCTAATCAGTGTGATAAGCCAGTTCTCAAGCAGCCCTCAAAAGGAGCATATGACAACAGTTTACAAAATTCTCAGATACCTAAAGAAAACACCAGGACAAGGCCTGTTCTTCGCAAAGGGTAGTGCTAGGAGTATTGAGTTATTCACAGATGCTGATTGGGGAGGTTCTAAGGTGGACAGGCAATCTACTACTGGTTATTGTTCCTATGTATGGGGAAATCTTGTAACTTGGAGAAGCAAAAAGCAATCAGTAGTTTCTAAGAGCTCTGCTGAATCCGAATATAGGTCTTTGGTTCTAGGAATTTGTGAAGGTATGTGGATAATTAGACTATTAAGGGAGCTCAAGATTGGAAACCTTGGACCAACCAAGGTATGTTGTGACAACATTTCAACAATCAAGATTGCTAACAATCCAATAGACTATGATCGCACCAAACATGTGGAAATAGATTGCCACTTCATCAAAGAAAAGTTGGAGGCAAAAATAATTGATCTCTCATACATTCTCTCAGGAAAACAAATCGCAGATATCATGACCAAGTCCCGTACTCAAGAGAAATTCAAAGCCTTCATACACAAGCTAGGAATGATCAACATCTATTCGCCAGCTTGAGGGCGAGGGCTGGAAATGGGCCTGCCGCCACTCTTGGGCTCTATCATGATTTAACCTACTTTTAAATCTACAATATGCAATATCTTATCTATATTTATTATTTATTATTTTTGAATCTCTGTTATTATTGTCCGAGATTGTAGGAGCTCTTTAAGGGATTAGATTCAGATTCTTTTCTCTCTTTTTCTCTATATATGTAACCCTCATGTATCAATAAAATTTAGAGATGTTCTTCCATATTTTATTTCAAAAAGAAAAAAAAATTCTAACTATACTTTATCAAAAACATAAATTTAAAAAAAAAAAAAAAAAATCCCCTTGTTAGATGAGCAAAGATTTGAACTAGTTAAAGAGAGACAACAAGTATTAGTTCCAATAGGCCACCACTTAACTTGATACAAGCTCCTTACTATAATTTATCAAAATATAATTGTAAAGAAAAAATTATTTTACTATCTTCAGTCCTTAATACAAGAACTCCTTTGACTTTTATTTTGGCCCTAAATAAAAAACCAAAATCTACTTTATCTCTCATATTTATCCATTTCTTTTCAATGTAGTCCTTGTAATAACAATAGTTCAAACCAATACACTTAATTAGCAAGAATATTTTAGGAAATGCAACACCTATTTATTATAAATAACTAACTTAACTAGCTTTCTTAATCTAATTAAATTAGTCAACGAGCTCATATTAAAAACTAGAGGTAGTATTTTTTTTTTTTTGAAATGTCTTAGTCTTTAGCTTGATTTAAATTCTAAAATTTATTTTATTTTATTATTATTATTTTTGAATTGCCTGGTTGTTACATTCCTCCCCCATTAAGAAATTCGGTCATTTGATTTTTATTTTTTTTTAGGGTAAAACAAGGGTATCCTCAAGTCACATTGGACTTGAAACTAATCCCTTTCGGGCTTGAAGCAGTTAAGGAACAGTCCTGCCAATAAATACGCTTCCTGAAATTCAAACTTGTGTTTTCCTCCTTACAGAGATTAACCCACTACCACCTCAACCAGCTTGTTGGTTGAAGGGGCAGCAGCCTAGGACATCACCACAAAGATCACCCATCAAACGTACATATAATATATATATATATATATATATATATCATGCAAGAGCAAAATTAAAATTAAATTATCACAATCCATTGTCAAATTAGATAAACATTCACTACCACTTCCAAACAACAACCATTATTACACAATCAAATGAATTATTTTAAGAATCTCTTAATCCATTCACAAGTAGCACTGTGAAGCCTCATATGCAAAGCCTAAAGCATTGAAACTTATTTTTTAAATCTCATTTTTCTCAACCCAAATAAAGGGTGTTAAATACAACTTAGGGAGTGAAAAGAAAATACTCTAATCCATCATATTTCTCTAATTCTTTCTGCTGACAACTTAAGTAACTTCTCATGCATTTCACTTTTTTTTTTTTCCCTGCATATTTTTAATCTGTGATAATCTGATCGATGAACTAGCCTGTAAATCTCCTTTATAATATTCATGTCCTCAAGGAATTTTTTTTTTTTCCTTTTTTCCCTCTTTTTTTTTTTTGTTTTCTTTTTTGAGTTCAAAAACATCACACACATTTCTCAATTATTGTACATGAACTTATGGCACCAAGAATACTCTTTTCCTTTAACTCCAAAAATCCAGTCAAACATTGATAATTTTTTACTCTAAACAAAATTTAAGCATTATAGCGTTATCACTAACAAAACTAAGGCCAAACTATTATATGCACAGGTCAAAACAAAATTCACATATCTACAACAGGAAAGAATACATCTCTTGCAAAATCATGGCACAAAAACCGCACCGTATTATCATAAATCCTCATGAAAATCATAACCAAACAATCATTTTTGTAGATCAAACCCAGCCACACATGTCCGCAACCCAACTAAAGCTTTTCCCTCAAAACTCTGCAGCATAGATCGCCCCCATTTTATTTTCTTTTTAAGTCCAACTCACTAAAATCAAATGACCCAGGGCGTTCAAAAAAGTTTAGGATTATATGATCCATTTAGAAACTTGAAACCAAATCAATATATCTAGTAGTTAGTCCCAAGTTCTGGATGCAAAGAATAAAGGATGATGACTTTCAAAATAACATGGCCAAGTCAATTACCATAACCACAACCAGGTCATGTTTCAACATGCTCATCTAGATGTCTTTATGCCCATAATAGGACTTATGCTTACAATGCAACACCAAAGTAATTTAGTAGCCTATTGTTTGAAGTAAAGCCCGTGCATTTAACAAGAAGATAATTTGTTTTGATCATTCAACATTCATGAGTTACTGTTTCTGTGTTAACTCAGCACCAATGTAGAAAGAAAAACAATTTCATGAAACGAAAATCAACATCAGATGACGATTTTCTTTAGTCAAAGGAGAACTTGCATATTTTGAACAATATATATTTTACAACCAAGCCAAGTGTTGATTTCTTCATCCTTAACAACCTGAGTATTTTAAACAAGCAGAGCAACTTTTGATAGAGACAGAAGCATGGCAGTAGTTGCTTCACACCAGAATATCATTTATGCAACAAAATCAACATGGAAACAAAATCATTTCGTCTCAAAGCTTAATGACCAACTTTTAAATCTGGACATATAGAATTCTTACATTCACAACAATATTACCAAAATCTAGACCAATTATGTTTTGTGTTAACAATCACAGTATCTAAGGCATCATTCTAGCTGAGAGCACGGAGGCATGTAGTTTACTTTGAAAACTTTTAAGACAAAATTAATATGTATAGTTATCCATATCAAGTTTTCTTCTTCTTCTTCTTCTTTTTTTTTTTTTTTTAAATTCTATTTTATATGTATATATATATATATATATTTTTTTAACAGGACTTACCTATATTCATAAGCCTCACACCAAGGAAGATTCCAATAACACAAAAAATCAACCACGTACTGTTTGCTTTCTCACAAATGAACCTCCTATTACTCTTCAAAATTCATTTCAATAAGTCAAAAAATATGATTAGAGAAAGAAAGAATGATACCAAATTACCTTTACAAGTTTCAAGCAAAAAACTACAAGATCTTCAAACAGCAGCAAGGTGACAAAGGGTCCACAAACAATCCCATATGGAATGGAATGTTAAAAGCTACCATAACTAAAAAGTCCAGTTATTTATATGGACATTGTTAGGCAATTCATTAAATCTTTGTCGCGTATCAACAAAGCTTCTTGTAAATGAGTTTTTCAACTAAATCAGACTTACATCCAACATGAAACAATACTCAAAATTATTATATTTCTCATATCATAAGCCTCAGCTATCTCTCAGTTTCAACATCAATCCACAACGAATCCTTTTCCTAGACATTTCTACAACACCTTGAGTTCAACAATAATCAAGCAAGTTCACCAAGCATATGAATAAACAAATTTCAGCTTTAACACACACTTTGCAACGGCCACAATAGAGCAAAAATATTTATGATTCAACACAGACACACTCACTAAATCTGAACAGAGAAATAGAGGCAAGAGTATTCACTTGCCTTCATCGCACGGCAGCATTAAACAAGAAGAGAGACAAAGACTCAAACCACAATCCAACACAACAACACAGCCAAGAAGAATAGAAGAAACAACACACTGCTGAAGGTATAAAAGCTCCAAATCAAGGTGATGAATCACAACAAAAACAGAGGGAGAAGAAGAAATCAACAGTGAACAAGGGAAGAAAATAGTAAAATGGAACCTTGAATGGTGGAGGAGACAGGGACTATGAACACCAACAATGACAAAGACAAATGAAGGCGAAGGACATGAACCGGATGACGGTTGGGGCTCTCCATTTCAGAGTCTCGAGGCTTCCCCCCCTCTGCTCTCTCTGCTGAACACAATAGAAAGAGAAAAGAAAAAAAAATTCTGATATATTACATTTTGGTTTTTTTTTTAAATGAAGCGCATAAAGGTAATTGCAATGCTAAAAATTTAAAAAAAACAAAAGAAAAAGAAATCCCTTTGTTGGAGGAGCAAAAATTCAAACCAGTTAAAGAGAGGCAGCAAGCATTAGTTCCATTATGCCACCCCTTCACTTGATACAAGTTCCTTACTATAATTTATCAAAATATAATTGTAAACAAAAAATTATTTTATTTATTATTTTCTTTTAATTTTTTTGGGAAATATCTTAGTCTTTAGCTTGATTCAAATTCTAAAATTTATTTCATTTTATTATTATTTTTGAATTCCCTGATTGTTACATTCCTCCCCCATTAAGAAATTCAGTCCTCCGAACTATTTTTTTTTTTTTAATTTTTTAGGTGAAACAAGGGTATCCCAAGTCACATTAGACCTAACACTAATCCTTTTCGGGCCTGAAACGTTTAACGAATAGCCCTTCCAATAAGTGAGCTTCCCAAGATTTAAACTTGCGTTCTCCTCCTTACAGGGGTTAAGGCCGCTACCACCTCACCCAATCGCGGCCTAGGACATCACCACAATGATCACCCATTTAACGTACATATAATAATTATATATATAAATACATAATGAAAGAGCAAAATTAAAACTAAATTATCACAATCCATTGTCAAATTAGACAAATACTCAATACCACTTCCAACCAACAACCATTATTACACAATCAAATGAATTATTTTAAGAATCTCCTAATCCATTCACAAGTAGCACTGTGAAGCCTAACAGGCAAAGTCTAAAGCATTGAAACTTATTTTTTAAATCTCATTTTTTCTCAACCCAAATAAAGGGTGTTAAATACAACTTAGGGAGTGAAAAGAAAATACTCTTCTCTAACTCTTTCTTCTGACAACTTTAGTAACTTCTTGTGCATTTCATTTTTTTTTTTCCTGCATATTTTTAATGTGTGATAATCTGATCGATGGACTAGCATGTAAATCTCCTTTATAATATTCACGTCCTTAAGGAATTTTCTTTTCTTTTTTTCCTCCTCCTTTTTTTTTTAAAGTTCAAGACATCACGCACATTTACATCTACCCATTCTCAATTATCGTACGTGAACTTATGGCACCAAGAATACTCTTTTCCTTTAACTCCAAAAATCTAGTCAAACATTAATAACTTTTTTACTCTAAACAAAATTTAAGCATTATAGCGTTATCTCTTAACAAAACTAAGGCCCAACATCTCTCGCAAAATCATTGCACAAAAACCACCGTATTATCATAAATCCTCATGAAAATCATAACCGAACAATCACTTTTGTAGATCAAACCCAACCATCCATGTATGCAACCCAACTAAAGCTTTTCCCTCAAAACTCTGCAGCATAGATCGCCCCCATTTTATTTTCTTTTTAAGTCCAACTCACTACAATCAAATGCCCCAGGGCGTTCAAAAAAGTTTAGGATTATATGATCCAGTTAGAGACTTGAAACCAAATCAATATGTCCAGTAGTTAGTCCCAAGTTCTGGATGCAAAGAATAAAGGATGATGACTTTCAAAATAACATGGCCAGGTCAATTACTATAAACACAACCAGGTCACGTTCCAACATGCTCATTTAGATGTCTTTATGCCCATAATTGGACTTATGCTTACAATGCAACACCAAAGTAATTTAGTAGCCTTTTGTTTGAAGTAAAGCCCGTGCATTTAACAAGAAGATAATTTGTTTGGATCATCAGCACCAATGTAGAAAGAAAAACAATTTCATGACACGAAAATCAACATCAAATGACTATTTTCTCTGGTCAAAGGAGAACTTGCATATTTTGAGCAATATACATTTTACAACCAAGCCAAGTGTTGATTTCTTCATCCTTAACAACCTGAGTATTTTAAACAAGAAGAACAACGTTTGATACAGCCAGAAGCATGGCAGTAGTTGCTTCACACCAGAATATCATTTATGCAACAGAATCAATATGGAAACAAAATCACTTCGTCTCAAAGCTTAATGACCAACTTTTAAATCAGGACATACAGTATTCATATATTCACAACAATATTACCAAAATCTAAACCAATTATGTTTTCTGTTAAAATAGAATTAACATACGCAGTATCTAAGGCATCATTCTAGCTGAGAGCACCGAGGCATGCGGTTTACTTTAAAAACTTTTTAAAACAAAATTAGTATGTATAGTCATCCATATCAAGTTTTCTTCTTTGTTTTTTTTATTTTTCTTAACAGAACTTACCTATATTCATAAGCCTCACACCAAGGAAGATTCCAACAACAACAAAAAATCAACCACGTACCTTTTGCTCTCTCACAAATGAACCTCCTATTACTCTTCAAAATTCATTTCAATAAATAAAAAAATATGGAGTATTAGAGAAAGAAAGAATGATTCCAAATTACCTTTACAAGTTTCAAGCAAATTACTACAAGATCTTCAAACACCAGCATGGTGACAAAGGGTCCACGAACAATCCCATGTGGAACAGAATGTTAAAAGCTACCATAACTAAAAAGTCCAGTTACTTAGATGGACATTGCTAGGCAATTCATTAATTCTCTGTCACGTATCAACACAGCTTCTTGTAAATGAGTTTTTCAACTAAATCAGACTTACATTCAACATGAAAAAATACTCAAATTTGTTATATTTCTCTCTCATATCATAAACGTCAGCTATCTCTCAGTTTCAACATCAATCCACAACAAATCTTTTTCCTAGACATTTCTACGAACACCTTGACTTCAATAATAATCATGCAAGTTCACCTAGCATATAAAGAAAGAAATTTCAGCTTTAACACATTCCACAACAGCCACAATAGAGCAAAAATGTTTATCACACTCATTAAATCTGAACAGAGAAATAGAGGCAAGAATATTCACTTGCCTCCATCGAACAGCAGCATCTAAGAAGAAGAAAGAGACGAAGACTCACACCACAAGCCAACACAACAACACAGCCAAGAAGAATAGGAGAAACAACACATTGCTGACGGTATAAAAGCTCCAAATCATGGTAATGGAACACAACAAAAACAGAGAGAGAAGAAGAAATCAACACTGAACAAGGGAAGAAAATAGTAAAACGGAACCTTGAACGGCGGAGGAGACAGGGACTATGAACACCGACGACGACGACGACGAAGACAAATAAAGGTGAAGGTCGCGAACTGGACGACGGCTGGGGTTCTCCGTTTAGTCTCAAAGCTTCTTCCTCTCCGCTCTCTCCGCTGAACACGATGGAAGTAGAAAAGACAAAAAGAGAAATTCTGATATATTGCATTTTGGTTTTTTTTTTTTTAATGGAGCGCATAAAGTAACTGCAGTGTTAAAACAAAAATTGTTTTCAAAAAAAAAATCCCCTTCATGGAGAAGCAGAGGTTCGAAGCAGTTAAACATAGGCAACAAACATTAGTTCCGTTATGCCACCACTTCACTTGATAAAAGTCCCTTACTATAAATTTTCAAAATATAATTGTAAAGGAAAAATTATTTTATTTATTTTTTGTTTTTATTTTTATTTTTTTGGGAAATATCTTAGTTTTTAGCTTGATTTAAATTCTAAAATTTATTTTATTTGTTTATTATTATTTTTGAATTTCCTGGTTGTTTCATATATATTCTGCGCCAAATGATTCAGTCTTCGTTGATGAGCAACGACGATACGAGTTTGATAACATCACATAAATGCCCTTCGAATGATCACACGGGATCGACGTATCATGCCCGTATAAGTTATCCATCCCATGCCCTGTTTGGAAATGAACTAGATATTTCATTTCCTGAAACGCATTATTCTATGCAAGCCCAACGCATCCCATCTGAGTCAAGATGAATCCTCATACATCAAATACAATACCTAGTGGCCTGTACTTGATCGCCTTCTTTCTTCGTATCTGGTACCAGAGTCTCTATATTTAACAGCACCAAACTTGAGACACCTGTTCTCGTCTCTTATAGCCATCATTTCCATTTTTACTCTGAAGCCATTACCATCACACAAGCAATCATCCATGGTGATAATTAACTTGTCGTGGCGTGATGAAAATAATCCTAGAATAACTACTCTAACTAATGGAGCCATAGATCAAGGGTACTTCATAATCATTACATAAACAAAAGAGAAAAGAAGAAAACCAAGGAATGGAGCAAAGAAGCTCCAAATTTCTTGCAAACTTCAAGTCGAAAACTTTCAAATCTCCAAACCCTAGCAAAGAACTCCTTCAAACAGGTTCCCAAGTCGACTTGCCAAAAATTTTACATGCCCTCAATTTTAAGTTACAATGCAAAACGTATAGTTGTGTAGGGATAGGTGCCACAGCGGATTACACAAATTAGGGAGCTACTTGGAAAGGATTGGGTGCCATAGCAATTTAGACAGGCGCTGCCGTGCTTTATACAAAATGCCTCTCCTTCTTTTCTATTTTAAAGGCCAAGGTGGATTGCTTCAGCCGCTATGACAGATTATGCATTTTCAGCCTCCTTCGCTTGGTTCTTCCATTCTTGCTCATTTTGCGGCCCTAATCTTCCTCTGGTCAACTAAAATAAGTTAAATATTTCTCCTTGTCATCTTTTTAGCTCTCACTACTTCCTACACCAAAAATCTTAGAAGTATTACACAAATAATCCTCAATTGTTAACACAAATCAAGCTTCACATTTTCAAGTCATATTTTCTAACTTTAAGAGAATAATCTTACATGATTAGCTTCCAAAACTCACAAAATAGTATTAAAATAGATTGAATTGCTAGAAATTTCAAGAGGTTATCAGCAGATTTTCTCCATTTGCTGTGGATTAGCCGTGGCGAATCAACAGCAAATAGCCACAAATTTTATCCCTCTTGGGCTACATTTTCTTTTCATTCACTCTAGCATTGACTGTGGCAAACCAATAATGAATGCACTTAAAATAAAAGTTTTCTGCTTTAATTTTCAGAGCTTTTTCATCCTTCCTCCCAGCTATTCTGCTCTTCAAGGGTGTCCTACACAGTTTAAAAACATTGGTCTCCATTCTTTTGCTTAAAAAAAAAAGGTATTAAGTTCTAACTAGCTCAAAATAATCACAATTATCACAAGATATCCCCAGGAGCTAGACTAGACACAATTTTCTTGATGACTCTGTTTTTAAGCATAATTTAACTCTAAAAACAGGAAGTTAAGGAAGACAATGTGCTAAAAAATTATAAATTTATCGTAGTTAACAATACCTCAATAGGTACATATTTGGCCGGTCTATTTGCTCTATAAATCTCCCCCACGCTCTAGGATCCCCGTCTGGTCAGCGAATCACGTAAATCACGTAACGCCCATCGATAAGGCTGTCTACCATGAACTTAATGTCTACCTTAACTGTACTGCCCTCACAAAAGCAATCATACAATGTGAAAAGAACCTTGTCGTGGTTCACTCTGTAATGAGAAATTGAAATTTGAGAAGGGTTTGAAGAAGTGTAAACAAGTGCGTACTCTTCACGGAATTTTGTACCTGACCATGTGTAAAGCTCAGCCCTAATGGCAGGGTCTTCGACCGCACGAGAGCGTGAACGGGTCGATGAGGTGCCCATTTATACCTGCGTTCACCGACTGATCATCAACTTGATCACCATTTGCAGGGTAAAGGTATATATAGGGAAGAAACTTAGAGTCATATGGAATCTTGGACACTATTCAATGATACACACAATTTTATAGAGGAATATATTGTGGCTGTGATTTTTATCTTTTTTTTGCCAGCATATTGTGGCTGTGATAAACTAGAATAAATGCCTGACAATAACTTTTGCGATGGAAGAATTTGATTCCATTAAAACATTAATTAAACGGAGCTTTGATTGTTGGAAATATTTAAATCATTTGTACTCAAGGGGGGACCTTGCTGCACTTCCGGTACTGTCGTTAGGCATATAGAAAGACAGAACCTGAACATAACGCTGCCTCTGGTAGTTACTATTAAAAAAAAAAAGTCATTTAGCACCTAAATGAGTTAGATAATTAATTTGTAGAAATTAAAAAAAATTAGTTAAATTATTTATTTTAAAAATATGTTTGTTGGTTTTCTTAGATTATCCCTATTAGTCATTTGCATAACATACTTCTCCCTTAATAGAAATTCCCCTTATAATAAGAAGATGCTAGAGAGAAAACATTATAAATTCAAGAGAAAAAGTGGGTTGATCTATTCCCATTGAAAGTCTCACTAAAATCCTATTTATTGGGCCAACTAAACTTGAAAGCGCCAGTCTTCCACTCTGAAGCCGATCTTGCAAGATGTTGAAGCATTTGAAGGCAAAGTGTAAATGAGAGAACACTCCTGGGGAAGCTCTTCACTTGATTTGAGTAGTTCAAACTTAGCCTATTAAACATTTTCAGCCTAAGAGATATGTGTGTGTGTGTGTATCGGTGCCCACTCTAGAAGCATATTGGATCGAAGACATTATTTGAGATAATATTGTTGCGGTTTTGTAGACTAGCATATATGCCTGAAGAATAACTTTTGCAAAGAAAGAATTTGATTCCAATAATTTATTAATGAGAATGACCGCCTTTCTTTGATGAAATTATGTGAATACGTAAAGAGTGACGGAAGGGACCTCTCTACACTTGTGATCATGTCTTTAGGTATTGTAATATACATATGTACTGTAAGATAAGAAAAACAAACGCTGCTTAATCTGGAAAGTGTTCTTGACTTTGATTTTTGATTTTTGACTTTTTTTTTTTTTGCGGGTCACTTGCTTTGAGATTCAACTTTTATTTTTTTCGAACAGAAAAAATTAAAAAGAGAGTAACATTTTTCAAGAAAAACAATGACATTGATGTGAAACATGAAAGGGGACGGGAAAGAGAGAAATTTAATAAATCAAATGTGCTACGTAATCCGGTGATAATAAAGATTATCCAGATACACCCATATTAGATATTGTGCTAAATTTTCATTAAAGTCATTGGTGTTTTGGATATAAAAATCTTTCAGAAAGTTTATCCATAGTAGAAGTGGGTTCTCTGCTCATATCAAATTTGAATGATCCAAATTTTCAGATGCTTTATGCATGTTTGTTAATTTTGGAATAATTTAGACACATGATAAAAAGAATATCATAATTATATTTGTTAAAATCTAATAGTTCAAAATAAAAGGGAAAATTATTGAATATAATAGGTACATGATAGAAGAAGAAAAAAACCCAGATATGATTCTTTATCTGCTATTAGAACCAGGAAAACGGGTCGAACCTGTCGGGTCGGCCCTTTTAGACCCTGAAATTATGAGGGTCGAGCTTGATATTTTCCTCTTAAAATGATAAATAAGCCCTGGAGGGCCGAGGGCTTAAAAGGGCCGGTCCTTTTAAGCTATTTTATAATTTTTTTATTTTTTAAATTTTTTTATATAATATTAATGTTATTAATTTTTTACATTGTTAATAATATTTCAAATATTTAGTTATTATTATCATTTTAAAATTAAATTTAGTTTTAGACAATAATTTATCCAATTAAATTTTTAAAAAATGGGTTAATTTGAACTTTAATAATGATTTGATTTATATTATATGCGTTGATATTTTTAAACTATATATATATTTGATAATAGAATATTTTTATACTTATATAACTTGTGATTCTATAATTTGAATTAGAAATTCATGAGTTTCAACAACAATGTTTCTCACATTAAAGTAAAATAATATTAGATTGCAAAATTTAAAAATAAAATTCTTATAAAGAAGAAAAAATTGATATTTTTGTTACGAAAGAAAAACATACTTATGAAAAAAAATAATTAATTATAGTAATGATGAAGTTTCAAAAGATTAATGATAGTGTTTATTTATTGCACAATTGCATTATAGATAAAACTTTTAAATATTGTTATCTTGTTAATGAATGTTTTATTTATATATGATAATATTTTATATTTATGACTTAATTTTATTCATATTTATGTCTTTTATCAATGAAATATATGATAAATATAAAAAATAGTATTTTTTTCCTTAAACGGGCCAAAAGCCCGCGGGCTGACCCTAACCCTGTAGTTTAAGGGCCGGACCTAACAAATTGGGGGTATTTTTAAAATTTCAGCCCTGAAGGGCCGGCCCTTTTAAGCCCGCCGGCCCTGAAGGGTCGGCCCTAGAGAGCCAGGCCGATCCTGATTCTTAGCTCTATCTGCTATGTTTCACGGCAGAAGCTTGGAATTTTCATTGGTTAACGTTGGTCTGAGGCCGACCATTGTTATCGTTGATACAGCCGTTGCTATTGCCTGCAAAACTCCCCTAATTATAAATAAAATTCCCAAAATTTAAAACGTTTGGTGAAGGGCGATCATCATCATAGCGACCAGGAGCTCCAACACCGTTCCAATCTTCTATCTCCAAGTCATTCGGAACATTACTCCTCCAGTCCTAATTATAAGACCCAATTGACTTATTTGAGGAGATTAAGGAAGTAAGTTAAGTTGGTTATTTATAATAAATAAGTGTTGTCATTCCTAAAATATCCTTGCTAATTAAGTATATTGGCTAAAACTATCATTATTAGAAGGATTATCTTGGAAAAAAATGTATAAATATAAGAAACAAAATGGATTGGGGTCTTATAATTAGGACCAAATAAAAAGTCAAATAGGGTTTTATAATAAAGACCGGAGGAGTATATGCGATTACAATAACATCATCCGGAGGCATACCTGATGTATTGTCATGCCCTGAAAAAATTAGGGTAACCAGCACAGAAGATAAGAAAACTCACATTTCTTAAGTCTTAAAACCACCCATTAAACGCTTGGTATAATAATTATGATATCATTTCTACCGTCATAATTTCACAATGCATTTATCAATTCTAAATCATACATATATTCAAAAAAAAAAAAAAGGTTTTACATCCACTTAGAAATATTCCAACGTGCAATTCAAATCCGAGCCAGTGGTATATTAAGCTTCAATAATAAGCAGGAGAAACAGGATCAACTGTACTATATGATGCCCCAATAATTTAAGGGTGAATAATGTCCCATTAATAAAATAAGATAAAATAAATGTCAAAAGAATAAATTATGCAGATTCAATTCTGAGAAATAAACGATTAACTGTTGCTTCTTTCAACTTCTAAGTAAACCATTAAAACATAAAAGAAAATATGTAAGACACCTTCAATATACAAAATTAGTTAAGTATTTAAACAACTTATTTATAAAATAAAATTACGAAATTGTATGAAAACACTTTTTGGTTGAGGACTTCAACAGAACAAATAACAAGCCGGGATACAAAATCCACAAGTATCAAGCAAACTTGATGTTAACCATAGAGCACTAATACAGCACAGTCGAAGCAACAAATATAAGTATGACCAAAGCCACGAATACAAACATGACCGAAGCCACGAATACAAGCACAGCCGAAGCCACGAATAACAAGCGAGCTCAAAATAAATCCTAATGTGCTAAAAGCTAACAGTATTGCTGTTAACAACCAGCATTCTGTATTTGTTGGGGAGGGTTGGTGAGACAGCAAGTGATTGGTCGTGAGTATCTCTTCCTAGAGTCCATTGTCAAAATCAAAGTACATAATTCATTGGAAAGAGATCCTCTAGAATTTCATGTCATTTCACCACTTCTTCTTTAAGTTTTACGCACTCTTTGATACAATTGTGCATAATTTAGCTTTAATCCTTATTATTTTTGAGCTTATAGAGGTTACCCTTTTGCAAGGTTAATTTGGTCAAATAGTTAAAGTCTCAAGCCACTTGGAAGTACTGTGGAAGGATTTGAAGACAAAAGTTGCTTAAGAATCATATTATGATGATCAAAGAACAAAGAGAGGCCAAATTATAGGTGAAACTCCACATTTGAGCTAAAAGAACAAAATTTTCCAGAGGCAAGCTATTATATGCTCGGGTCAAAACAAAATTCACATATCTACAAAAGGGAAGAATACATCTCTTGCAAAATCATGGCACAAAAACCACACCGTATTATCATAAATCCTCATGAAAATCATAACCGAACAATCACTTTTGCAGATCAATCCCAATCATACATGCACGCAACCCAACTAAAGCCTTTCCCTCAAAACTCTGCATGCATAGATTGCCCCCATTTTATTTTCTTTTTAAGTCCAACTCACTACAATCAAATGCCCCAGGGCGTTCAAAAAAGTTTATGATTATATGATCCATTTAGAAACTTAAAACCAAATCAATATGTCTAGTAGTTAGTCCCAAGTTCTGGATGCAAAGAATAAAGGATGATGACTTTCAAAATAACATGGCCAGGTCAATTACTATAACCACAACCAGGTCATGTTCCAACATGCTCATTTAGATGTCTTTATGCCCATAATAGGACTCATGCTTACAATGCAACACCAAAGTAATTTAGTAGCCTTTAGTTTGAAGTAAAGCCCGTGCATTTAACAAGAAGATAATTTGTTTTGATCATTCAACATTCACGAGTTACTGTTTCCGTGTTAACTCAGCACCAATGTAGAAAGAAAAACAATTTCATGAAACAAAAATCAACATCAAATGACTATTTTCTTTACTCAAAGAAGAACTTGCATATTTTGAACAATATATT